CTCCCCATTCATATGCATATCTTTTACCATGGCACTTAAGATCCCATTGATCTTCATAGTTGGGTCCTTGCTTAGTATACGATATGTTGTCTTGTCTTGTAGAATATCTTCCATCTTCTCGGTATATTGTTTTTTGTCCATTATTACTGTGGCTCCTCCTTTGTCCGCCTGAAGGACTAATTGTCTATTTTTTTCCAGTGTTTTGCGTATCTCGACAAATCTATTCCTGTGTGTAGGCTCCTGATGGTTCAAGATTTTTGGGATTAGTTCCATCCCCATTTCCCGTTTTGTTTCCTCAGGGTACTTGTCAGTGATATTGATAACCTCGACCAAGATGTCTCCTAAAAGGCTCCTGTGATGCTGAATTAAAAAATTTAGTCCTTTCTTCAGGAGCGCGGTTGTTTCGTGATTGAGAGTTATTGATGATAAGTTTACTACTTTCTTTCTTTCCCCGTGCTGATCAGTAAGTGTTTTTTTTCGAAACCAATTCAACTGGGCGCACTGTCTTCAATTTAGGCTGTCTAAAAATCCCAAACTTACGCAACTGATCGTCATGCCGTTTGGTTATTAGGTCAGAAATCCTACGTGATTTCCTGTCCGTCGTGCTCTGGAGTTTTTGAAAATCTTGTGGAGACAGGACTTTGGCCAAATCACGCCGGAGCTTTGACTTAATATCAATAAACTTAAACAACTTATTGCGTTCTTTATCATAGGTCTCATTTAGTTTCTGAATAGAAGCCTGTTTGAGATACTCATTAACCTTATCCGAGTGGTAGGGTCTCTTAAGGTCACAGAATTTAGGAGTGATACTATAACGTTAACAACAGTTTAAAAAAGAAAGATGAGAAGACCGACTTACAATTGTCTTCTTTGTACGGCTGTATTCAGTCCATTATTTGGCAATTTCGCTACCGTAGTTTGATTGAATATATAAAGACCAAGATATTGTGGCCTCTGTTATGGTCGAAGTCTCCTTTCGATTTATATAAGTGGGTTGACCTCGATGTCGCAACTCGGTCTA